TAGAGAGAGATAGAAGGAGGGAGTGAAAGAGACAGAAAAAAAGACCCAAAAAACACAAAAACAACTTCCACCTCCAGGGTTGAAGGAGGCTGAAGCCAGGGGCCAGAAACCCCATCTGAGTTTCTCTGAGACCCAAGCACTTGGTAGGTCATTTGCTCCCTCCGGGGGTGTGCATCAGCAGGAAACTGGAGCAAAAGTGGAAGTGGTAACTGATTCTAGGCACCATGATGTGGAATGTAGGCATCCCAGGTGGCAGTTTAGTGTGCTATGCCACAATGCCCACCCCTGATGCGCAGTTTTTAAAAGAATAGATATAAAAATATTGCAGCACTTTGTACAATAATCAGCTAATCCTTAACTCTAAAGTTAGAAGATATACCGCTGATGGTAGAATATTTCTAGTTACAATCTCAGCTAACATTCTCTTCAACACTTGCTAACCACTCCCCCTTCCAACTTCTTTTCCTTTAAGTCATTAACACCTCTGTGTGTATGTGTGTGTGTGTGTGTGTGTGTGTGTGTCACATTTCATAAACCACTGAATAGAGGTGGTTAATGAAAAGAAGGGGCTAAAATGTCTATGCCTTCAGTTCACTTCCAGTAAGGATAGAAGACAAGGACACAGGTTGGAACTCTACCTCTGCCACTCACAGTCTGGTTTTGAATAAATTGCTCAAAGTGTGTGTTCTCAGTTTTCACATGTCAAGTAGGGGTTATAATGTTATTTTACACACTTGTGATGATTCCATGAGTTAACAATATGAAGTGTGCTTTACAGTACCCAGCTAAGTGCTCAGTAAGCCTTAACTGATCTTCACAAGACTCATGGGCAAGATAAGAACCCCAATCATGCATGCAGGTGTCGCTTTGCATAGGACCACAGGAAGGAGGTGGCATTGTGTCCCTGGGCACCGAAGAAGAATCACTGAAATGTGTAGATTGTGGTGGTGGAGAATCACTTCTTTTTCTCAGATGCCCTCTGTCCCTTGTTTTCTGATTGTTTTCACTGTACCACCACAGATATGTCTCCCCTAAGTTCACATTAGCTCATCCTATTTTCCTATTGCACCTTCCACAAGTTAACTGAAGTTTCATGATCAATGAAAGGACTAAACAAAAGTGTATTATATATTTCTGTTTGGTTGATGATTATGAGGTGAAATTCAATGGGCAGTTAGGATTCTCTTTTAGTTGGAAGACTTGCAAAATGCTTTTCATAGGATGTGTGGATCACACATATAAACAAGACCATTAAGCACTGGGTTGGCAGTACTTGGTATCTTGGGACTGGTTATTTTATCTCTTACAAATGCACTCTAACAACTTTAAACTGTAAACATACTGTCAAGGAAAAGTGAAAAGCATCATAAAGACTCAAATAACTTTGAATTGACTTGTATATGACTTATTTTTTTCTTATGTGAGTGTTAAATTGAAGCCCAGAAAATTTGTCAATATCTGCAGGATCACACAAATTAGCAACTTGAATGCCACCTGTCCTTACTAACTCAGTTTAAAAACTCTTTGCCTGGAGAACTTTCCACAGTGAATGTCTTTAGCCTGACTTGCCCAAAGCCTTTCCTGTACTGCTCCTTTCTTCTCCTATGTATGCTCTACCTCTCTCTTTCCAGACTGCTTATCTCAAAGCATTGCAATTGTTTACTTGGCCTCTCCCACACTAGACTCTGAACTTATTCAGGCCAGGATTTTATCTGTATTCTCAGCACTTGCTACAGATGTTTGTTAAGTAGAATCAATGCATCTGATACTTCTTTTTTTTTTTTTTTTTTTGACAGGCAGAGTGGACAGTGAGAGAGAGAGACAAAGAGAAAGATCTTCCTTTTGCCATTGGTTCACCCTCCAATGGCCGCCATGGCCGACGCACTGCGGCCGGCGCACTAGGCTGATCCAATGGCAGGAGCCAGGTACTTATCCTGGTCTCCCATGGGCTGCAGGGCCCAAGCACTTGGGCCATCCTCCACTGCACTCCCTGGCCACAGCAGAGAGCTGGCCTGGAAGAGGGGCAGCTGGGACAGAATCCGGCGCCCCAACCAGGACTAGAACCCGGTGTGCCGGCACCGCAAGGCAGAGGATTAGCCTAGTGAGCCGCAGCGCCAACGCATCTGATACTTCTAACTCCAAGTTTTTAGTCCTTTCATTTATTACCATACTACTTCTCCTGGATCAGTGTTCATCCAAAAGTGCTCTTTGGGATGCTAGAATCTTTTGGGGTGCTTGATTTCAAAAGCGTATTTTGAAAACTTACAAGTGAAGGACATAAAAATCTTAACAGAGCACATCCTGTGATTCAACAACTGGGGAAAAAAAAAAAAAAGACATGAGTTCAAAAACCTTTCTTTGAGTGATTTTTGTAGGGTGTGGGTAACTTGGACAGAAGAGTAGATAGTTACCTAACTGGCATGCTTTCAAAGTGTTTGTGTGGGGATTGTTTTTATACAGACACTTCCCTGTTTGGTTTGGAGTTCACTTGTCTGATGAGTTTAGTGTTGCACAGATTGACCACAAAGGGGCAGCAGAGTCCAGGAAACTAAGGGGGGGGGGCCGCTTAAAACAGAATGGCAATACTTTCAATGAAGTATAAGAAAATGCTGAAAAATTATGAGCAATATGTCCCAAACTCCTTCATGTTTTCCCACCAGTGTTTTAGGGATCTTATTTTTAGCCATAATAATTTATAGTATTTTTAATTAAATTATATCTAACTGACAAATGCATTTCCATCAAAACCAAGAAAATATGAAGAGGCACTCCAAAAGTTAGCGGAAAACCCCAGTGATGAAAAAACTATGCATGGGTTTCAATATTTTTTACAACAATATAAACCATTGTGAAACTGGCTGAAACATTCCTTAATAGGATCTAATTGGAGACAATAAGAAATAAGATTGAAAAGAGCTCTTCATTTTACCAACATGAATTCTGTGAAAATTGAAGCAGCAATAAACAACAAATATATGGTAAAGCTTGGGTGGAAGAATGGTAAAATCACTGATGCTTTCCAAAACGTATATGAGTAAAATCCTCGAAGAAGTCAGCACTCAGACTAGCTATGCTGAGAGTCTAGACACAGAGATAAAATTATATGCATGCAGGTATGCAGATAACTCTTTTATTTTTTTTTGACAGGCAGAGTAGACAGTGAGAGACAGAGAGAAAGGTCTTCCTTTTCTGTTGGTTCATACCCCCACCCCCACCCCCCACAGCGGCTAGGCTACTGCGGCTGGCGCGCTGTGGCCGGTGCACTGCACTGATCCGAAGCCAGGAGCCAGGTGCTTCTCCTGGTCTCCCATGCGGGTACAGTCCAAGTCCTTGGGCCATTCTCCACTGCACTCCTGGGCCATAGCAGAGAGCTGGCCTGGAAGAGGGGCAACCGGAACAGAATCTGGCGCCCCGGACGGGGACTAGAACCTGGGGTGCCGGCTCCGCAGGTGGAGGATTAGCCTATCGAGCAGTGGTGCCAGCTGCAGATCACTCTTTATAGGCTCTTGTACTTTCAACAGAACCCAGGCTTAGGGCATGGGACAAATGGTAATAACAAGAGTCTAGTCCCTAGTGCAAAGATTAAGATTTAAATGCAAGGTGAGACTTATTCATTATTATATGAAGTAAAAATTACTTTTCCCCAGTTGTTAGGTGAATTCTGTAAGCCTCTATTTTTAAAGAATTATGTGTTTGTTTGAAAAGCACAACAACAGAGAAAGATATATAGAGAGAAACCTTCCATCTGCTGGTTCACTCCTCAAATGACCACAATAGGTGGGCCTGGGAGGGGCTGAAGCCAGGAATTCCATCCTAGTCTCTGTAAGCCATTTTCTACTACCATCCCAGATGCGTTAGCAAGAAGCTGGATCAGAAGCAGAGTAGCCAGGACTCAAACTGGCACTTGATATGGGATGCTGGTATTGCAGACAGTAGTTTAACCTGCTGTGCTGTAATACCAGGCCTTGTAAACCTTCTTAAGACCATATGCCTTTGTATAAGAGTAGACTCAACACCCAAGAGAAAGCAACTTGATCTCTACTTGAACCTTAGGACATGGATAACTTGAACACACCATGCCAGTCTTCTGAGTGGTTGCCTACCTCTGTAGGATGTTTTAAAAAAAACACACTACCTTTTTTTTTTTTTTTAAAGATTAGAAGGTCAAGTGCTATTACTTATTTTAATGAATTCTCATTGATTTTAGATACCTACAACTTGCTATTCGCCTGGAAAATACTTTTATCCTGAAGATATTTGTATCAATTAGATAAGAATAGTTCTTCAAATCATTTGACTTTGTCCAAACCATGAATAAACACAATAGGTAAAAAAGACAAACTCTGAAAATATAAGCAACATGGAAAGAAATCTATTATCAGAGTATGCTGAAAGTTACTCTGAGTAAACTTCCTCATTCTTCACACTCTAGACTCCAGGGACTCTGAGATTATAATTTAAAGGAGATGTAATGTCTTTCTTCCTTCTTGAAAAAATGAAATCTAGTTTGTCATTAGCACTGAAGTGGTTACTCTGGGGACATAAGTTAGTACATAAAACTCAGCTTTTGGTAGCCTAATTATTTCTCAACTCAGGTAGTCTCAATTGAGATTTTCGAAAGGTAAGGCAACACACACACACAAAGTGGTTTTTCTTTGATTAGCAAGTTACACTCTATTATATATATGTTACATTTATATTAATACAAGAGTTAGTGCATTGTTAGCCATTTATTTAGTAATGTATTTAACTATATTTTAATGTCTTTCTGCAACACATCCTCACTCTTAATACATTAAAAACCTAGGAATATTTTTGGAAAGACCAAAATGAAAATATTATGCAAAAAAATTGTTCTCAAAGTTACTGGCGTTGTAATGAGAGAATTATTTTTTCCCTTTCAGAAACTTTTGAAATTGTCATCTGCTTCTTATTTTAAAGTGTTGAGACTGGAACTTGAAAATAGCTGAAAGAAGGCAATGGAGGACGGTACCCCCGAGATGGCAGCTGTGGAGTTCTGTTATGAGAATGTAAACGGATCCTGCATTAAAACCCCTTATTCACCAGGCCCTCGGGCAATGCTCTATGCAGTCCTTGGTCTGGGGGCTGTGCTGGCTGTTCTGGGAAACCTGCTGGTCATCAGCGCTGTCCTTCTCTTCAAGCAGCTGCACACACCTACACACTTTCTCATCGCGTCCCTGGCCTGTGCTGACTTCTTGGTGGGAGTCACCGTGATGCCCTTTAGCACGGTGAGGTCGGTGGAGAGCTGCTGGTACTTTGGAGAGAGCTATTGTAAATTCCACACGTGCTTTGATACTTCCTTCTGTTTTGCTTCTTTATTGCATTTATGCTGTATCTCTGTTGATAGATACATTGCTGTTACTGATCCTCTGACTTACCCAACCAAGTTCACAGCGTCCGTCTCAGGAATATGCATTGCTCTCTCTTGGTTCTTTTCTGTCACCTACAGCTTTTGCATCTTTTACACTGGAGCCAATGAAGAAGGGATTGAGGAATTAGTAGTCGCACTCACCTGTGTAGGAGGCTGTCAGGCTCCCTTGAATCAAAAGTGGGTTCTTCTTTGTTTTCTTCTGTTCTTTGTACCCTCGGTTGCCATGGTGTTTATGTATGGTAAGATATTTTTGGTGGCTAAGCATCAGGCTAGGAAGATAGAGAGTACAGCCAGCCAAGCTGAGTCCTCATCAGAGACTTACAAGGAAAGAGTATCAAAAAGAGAGAGAAAGGCTGCCAAAACATTGGGGATAGCTGTGGCAGCTTTTCTGGTCTCCTGGCTACCATATATTATTGATGCAGTGATCGATGCTTACATGAATTTCATAACTCCTCCTTATGTTTATGAGATTTTAGTGTGGTGTGTTTATTATAATTCAGCTATGAACCCCTTGATATATGCTTTCTTTTACCCATGGTTTCGGAAGGCAGTAAAACTTATTATTACTGGCAAAGTCTTAAAGAGTGATTTGTCAACAACTAATTTATTCTCTGAAGAGGCAGATATAGATTAAAAAGATTACTCAAGAATCTCACAGCTAACTTGGAATTAGGGTCAAGTGCAAAAAATAAACACTTGGATCTGGAGAGGCAAGTATAATCTTTTCCCAAGTAGGAGGGTACTACATTCAAGTCGTTCTAAAGCATTTGTCTTTTAGAAGTTAGTGATAAATGAATAAAATGTGTAGAATCCTTCCCATTTAGTATCCTTTTCTGATTTTCTGATTCCTTTACCTTCTTTCCTTAAATTCCTACTTGTTTCTTTAAATCATTTGAACCTTGGCATTTCTGCCACACTGAAGATCAGTGTTCAATTGTCTAAAATACACAAAGGAGAAAATAAAAGCTCCTGCCTAATTTACCAGATTTCTGGGGACAAAAAATCTCCCTTAATGTATATTTTGCTTGCATTGTAAACACAGTATTTTTCTCTTGAAACTTTTTTGAATCTACAAGGATATTTTAATAAAAAAAGTTACAGATGGAGAGAGAGACACAGAGAGAGAGAGATCTTCCATTTGCTGGTTCTCTCCCCAGATGGCTACAAGGCCAGAGCTGAGCCTATCTGAAGCCAGGAGCCAGGAGCTTATTTTGGGTTTTCCATGTGGGTGCAGGGACTGAAGCACTTAGGCTATGTTCCACTGCTTTCCCAGGCCATAAGCGGAGAGTTGGATTGAAGAGGAGCAGCCAGGACACGAACTAGTGCCCATATGGGATATCAGCGCTGCAGGCCAAGGCTTAGCCCACTATGCCATAGCACCTGCCCCTGAAAAGGTTTTATAGAGAGATGAAGTGTGGAACTTTCTAGTGATTGAAAGTCATCTGATAATTGAAAATGAATCTTAATGAATAATGGGATGGGAGAGGGAGTAGGAGATGGGATGGTTTGCGGGTGGGAGGGTGTTTATTGGGGGAAGAACTGCTATACTCCAAAAGTTGTACTTTCAAAATTTATATTTATTAAATAAAAGTTTTCTAAAAAAAGAAAAAGAAAATCATCTGGAAAGATGATTTTAGCTTGTGTGTTTTCTAAATACTAGAGTTTCTTCCTCTCCATTTAAGAGATTATGCTTGCAAAGAATGTGGTTAGTGCAGGTATGGTTTTACATTACATCATAGGTTTTTTTTTTTTTTTTTTTGACAGGTAGATTTATAGACAGACAGAGAGAGAGAGAAAGGTCTTCCTCCATTGGTTCACTCCCCAAATGGCCACTATGGTCGGAGCTGTGCCGATCCAAAGCCAGGGACCAGGTGCTTCTTCCTGGTCTCCCATGTGGGTGCAGGGGCCCAAGTACTTAGGCCATCCTCCACTCCCCTCCTGGGCCACAGCAGAGAGCTGGACTGGAAGAGGGGCAACCAGGACAGAACCCGGTGTGCTGGCACCACAAGGCGGAGGATTAACCAAGTGAGCCACAATGCCGGCCCCACATTATAGTTTTGAAGAATGTAATTTGTTATTGTAGAATAAGCTTGTGAACAAAAATATGGCTTTTGTAGATTTTTTAAATAATTTGAATCAAAATTTAAAAATTAGATCAATACAAGTTAACATTTTGCACTTTTAAGTTTTTACTTTTAGGTTTATTTATTTTCATTTATTTAAAAGAGAGTGAAAGAGAAAGTGACAGAGAGGGAGAGAGAAGGGGGAGTAGAGAGAGAAAGAGAGGGAGAGAGAAAGAGAGAATCTTCCATCTGCTCCTTTGCTCTCCAAATGGTTGCAACAGCCAAGACTGAGTTAGGCCAAAGCCAGAAGCCAGAAACTACATCTGAATCTCCTATGTGGGTGGTGGGCCCAAGTACTTGAGCCATCACCTGCTATCTCTCAAGGTTATGCATTAGCAGGAACTTGTAATTGGGAGTGGAGCTAAGTCTCAAACCCAGGCACTCTGATATGGGACATGGTGTCCGAAGCCCAATGTGCTGAACACTCAACAGTTCTTATTCTGTACCAGATACTGTATTAGACATTGCAAATGCATAGAGTGATCCAAATATAACCAATGATTGTTGCAAAATAGCGAATACTCAAACTGGCATTATATGAGGGTACTTCAAAAAGTTCATGAAAATATGGCAGTAAAAGATATTTTTTTTTGACAGGCAGAGTGGACAGTGAGAGAGAGAGAGACAGAGAGAAAGGTCTTCCTTTTGCCGTTGGTTCACCCTCCAATGGCCGCCGCGGCCGGCGCACTGCGGCCGGCGTACCGCGCCGATCCGATCCGATGGCAGGAGCCAGGTGCTTATCCTGGTCTCCCATGGGGTGCAGGGCCCAAGGACTTGGGCCATCCTCCACTGCACTCCCTGGCCACAGCAGAGAGCTGGCCTGGAAGAGGGGCAACCAGGACAGAATCCGGCGCCCCGACCGGGACTAGAACCCGGTGTGCTGGCGCCGCCAGGCGGAGGATTAGCCTACTGAGCCGCGGCGCCGGCCAAAAAGATATTTATTTTGATACAAAATATTTTAAATCTTTATATGGTTTTCTTCATAATATGCATTTATCATAGATTTTTTTGATGACTCCACATAAATTCTGCTAATAACCTCAATTTTCTCATCTGATAAACATTTTAAACTCAGTGTGAGTTTTAATTCATTTTAATTCAAATATTTGTTGAATATTTCACAGTACAGGAGTTTGGATAAGCTAATGACAGGATGATTTGTATTTTCAAGTCTGAATCACTACCTTGAGTCTTTGTTTTGGTAGATGATTTTCACAGATGATCTGTGATAAATTGTTTTATGAATGGCAAAGGAAAGATAATAAAGTAAAAATAGTTATCTAAGCATTACTTAGTAAATGTTTTGTGGATGAAACAGGAAAAACTTAAGAGTGAGCTGTTTTTATATTTGTGCATTAATACCTTTCAAATAGTGCCGAACATAGCTAGGAGGAAAACATATAAAGGTTAAAGAAGATGAAAGGAATATAACATTCTTCATAGCAGAAAAACTGTGGATCACGTCATAGTCTCCAGGAAAACTCTCGACCACCTTTCAAACAATCACAGTAAAGTCCCCTTAGTCTCTTTCCTTAAGAAAATAGCTCAAAGGTTTTGTCCCCTTGATGGAAAGTTGGCAATGTCTTCATAAAGATGTGTGTTTCTTCTCTTGATTCCAAATGTGAACTTCACATTGCCACTCACCAATGGCAAGAAAAGCAATTTAGGAGAACTTACAAAGCATATACTATTCAATTCCCTTGAATTATGTAAAGTATAACTTTGAATGAACTGATTGTAAAAATAAACACTGTCCAGTGATGTTTTCAAGCACTTATCTACCACAGTACATGGAAAATATCCTTCCAATATATTCTTGTTTAGTTTTTCTACTCTTTCTGTAACCTTTCATAAAGGAAGTCTTTTGATCAAAAAGTCCTAATTTTTTCCCTAAAGAACTAACTAACTAGATTTTTAGTACCATGCTACTCCTCTCTTCTGCACCTCATTTATTTATCCAAATAGGCTATGAATGCCTTTGCCATCTATGTATACAGTTGCTGCAGAGCCACACATATATTTGGAACAAGGCACACCAAGCTTGGAAGTAGATTCCATTCTGCAAGACTCTGAAAAATAAAATCTGACAATAGAACAAATTCCTGAGCTTGGTCTCTGAATCCTGCTGATGTTTGGCTGCAAATTGTTTGCATTGGCCAAGGGAAAGCTGCAGAACTATTATAAAGAAGTATTTTTTGGCTCTTTTCTTTTTAATTTAAGGTATACAAATTTCATATATACAGATTCAGGAACATAGTGATACCTTCCTACCCTACCCTCCCTTCTGCCCACACTCCCACTTTTCTTCCTCCTCCCTCTCCTATTCCCACTCTTATTTTTTGCAAGATCCATTACAAGTTTGCTTTATATGCATAAGATTAACCCTACACTACTAAATATACTACAAATAGTGAATAATGAAGAAAAAAGGCACTATCCTCAACTTTCGAGACAGGAGCTGTAAACAATTATCGAATCTCAAAATGTCCATTTGAAAAAAAAAAAAAGGTAATTTAATTCATTTGTGCCCCCAAGTGGTAGCCATATAAATGCTGTCACTCACATATATGTACTATTATTTAAAATACACGCTTAATTGGTATTAGTAAAATACATGTTTATTTACAAATATTGCTGAATACCTAGTTGCTTTTGTCTTCATGCATTTTTCCGTTACTTGACATGAAAAGACAACTGCTGTATTGTGTGGAGTTTCACGTAGTTTTTAAAATATTGAAATGGAGGGGCCAGCACTGGGTGTAGCAGGCTAAGCCTCTGCCTGCAGCACTGTCATACAATATGGACTCCAATTCATGTCCTGGCTGTTCATCTTTCTATCCAGCTCTTGGCTTATGGCCTGGGAAATCAGCAGAGGATGGTCCAAGTACTTGGGTCCCTGCACGCACATGGGAGACCCAGAAGAAGCTTCTTGCTCCTGGCTTTAGACTGGCTTAGCTCAGGACTTTGCGGCCATTTGAGGAGTGAATCAGGAAGTGGAAGACCTCTCTCTCTGGCTCTCTCCTTCCCTCTGCAACTCTACCTGTCAGATAAATAAAATCTTTAAAAAATATTGAAACAGAGTTCTCAGACATCAAAAATTAAAGACCAAATGATATTGTTTGCTTCAGGGGTGGTCAAGAGGAAAGCACTTTTATCAAGTAGAGTCATGACTGTGAAAGTCTGCCAGTAACATGGGATGAACACAGAAGAAACCATCTTTAATATCTAGGTTCCCAGTTTAACTGAATATTCCCATTGAAGAGTTTTTTCATTTATTGCTGTTGTCATAATTGATGCATAACTGGAAATCGTGAACCCCTCATGTGTTTACAATTTTTAAAGATTCTATGCTTGGTTTTTGTCAGCTGAAACACCCTTGATTTGCTTTTTCACTCTTTTTTTGGTATACCATACCCTATTTAAAGATCAAAGAATAGTCACTTCAGCACAGCATTTATATTTGAAAAAAGCAGAAGCATTAATATTAATTTGAAAATAAAATTATTTTGAT